GTGCGGGAGGAATGCTCTCTTTTTCCATCTGGAGCTGAGCCATGCGTGTTTGGGTTTGTTTGATTGGTGAGGTGGTGGGGGTCAGTGGCAGATCTTCCCTGCTTGGTGAAACCCAAGAAAAGAAGGTGGATCGCCTGACACCCCGCGGTTGCCCCAGGGACCCCCTTGCTTCCTCCTGCACGCCGACCTACAGCTTCGTTTGCTTTAGGCTGATGGAGTTTCCAGATGGTCTAGAATTCGGATGGTTTGGTTCAAGACCAGAATCTCCACCTGGGTTCTAGGCAAGCTGATGTCTCTCTGGTTTTTAGAGTTGTGCTCTGTGGTCAGAAGGCTGTGTGTGTTCTTGTCATTTCAATGGCTTCCTTGAACTTTCTGGAATTCAACCCACAGGACTCATATTTAATACAGGCCAAATTTTTTTTTTCATTTTAAAGTGGTGGCAAAATTCCCTTGCTGTAGTGCAATTTTACTTCGTTGAATTCTGCCAAGAATAAAAATTCCATTGGGGGTATTTTGAAAAATTTTGGCTCATGCAGAGATTTCTATTGTCATGGTAGTTTGTCACAATATCTGACCTTTGCTGTATTAAAAGACATATATAGAGTTTCAAAAACCTCTGTGGACAATGGCATTTACTTTCTTACAAGATATGTAACTACTTTATAGGCTCCGAAATAGCCAAATTAGATAAAGTTACAACGCATCTGGAATGCATAGAAATTCTCCCTGTGTCCAGCGGGAGTGATGGGTTGGAATGGCATTCTCCTCTTTAAACTGCCAGCTAGTCCAGGTCTAATTTCAAAGTTATCTGCTGCCCTTGATAATTCTGACGACTTGCTTGCATACCAAGAAACTAACTGGCCTGTAACTTAACTCTACCCTACTTAAGCTTCTAGGCACGAGTAGTGCCCCTGAAAGTCATGTGGAGTAAAACAGGACCGCGCCCTGGGTCCTACCAATTCTGAGATGGGAAATCAGTTGCTCAGAAGACTGACTGTGTTTTGTGCACCATGTGAGCAGCTCGGAGAAAACCAATCACTTAAAAAAAAATGTCCAACACCTTACACAAGCAGTATGTGCTGTAAAAGTGCTGTCCAGCCAAACTGGTGTGGCTCAGTGGTTGAACGTCCACCTATGAGCCAGGAGGTCATGGTTCGATTCTCGGTCGGGGCACGTGCCCAGGTTGCAGGCTCCATCCCGAGCAGGGGGCGTGCAGGAGGCACCCGATCAATGAGTCTCTGTCATTATTGCTGTTTCTAACTCCCTCTCCCTCTCCCATCCTCTCTAGAAGCAATCTACACTAATAATCTACACTAATAAAAGAGAAACATGGTAATTGGCGTACGACCGCTACCCTTCCCATTGGCTAATCCCCCTGTCACTCACAGAGTAGGGCCAAGATATGCAAATTAACTGGCTGCCAAGATGGCGGCCGGCAGCCAGGCAGTTGATGCGAACAGGGAGGCTTGCTTGCTTCAGTGACAGAGACCTCCAACGTTTCCCCGCCTGACTTGCCGGCCTCTCAGCTGCAACTCTAAGCAACCATGTTGCAAATAAAGAAACTAAAAGAAACCCCCAGAAACCTGCTTTACTCAGTGGAGCTTCAGCCAGCCGGACCGCAACATTGTATCAAATACAGAGAGTAAACAAAGGCCAGAAACCTGTTTTCAGCAGCCGAGGCCTCAGAGCTAAAGCTGGCCCAGAATAACAAAAAGAAAAAAGAAAAAAAGGAGCAGTTGGGAGCTTCAGTCCCAGCCTGAAAACAGCCCTCAGC